ACTGACATATCTGCAAAGTCTTCTCAACCTGAAATGCTACTAATTTTCTCAAATACCTCCAGATCCTCTTAAACCTGCTCTGAGCCTTTGAAAAGTTTAGCTGCAGGGAGGTATATCTCTTTCATCTACATTTATTTATCTCTCCTTTTTCTTAAAATCATCTAGAATATTTGCTTTAATTGTAGAGATCCTGTCTTCCACGACCTAACCCACTGCCGTTTATTAGTTGATTCCAAATCATAGCTGCTCTACAGGAAAAAGTAGAAGTGTCTCATAGAGTTTCACAGAAACAGACTTTCAAGTTTTCTACAGTGGAGGATCTGATTGGCTGCAAGCACTTACCCACCGTGTTAGGGCTCCTAAAATTGAAGATCAAGTTCACTGTCATTAAGTCAGTTCACGTTTCTGAGTCTGTAGATCTTTTTAATTATTATTGAGTTTTTTAATGCAACATATATTTTTACAGCATATTCTTTCCATTTAATTTATTCCCATTCATTCATTGTTGCATATTTTTCTCCCTCCTCACCCCACCCTCCCCCCAGTTTGTTTTACTCTTTGGGGAAAAAAAAATTCTTTCATTATTACACAATCCTCCCTCCCAAGTCCACAGTCTACCATGCCTTTATTTTTCTGTAATCTTGTCACGAAAATACCTAATCCTATTTTCCTTTTAAACAGTTCTCTCCCTCCTCTGTTTCAATGCAGTATACATTATTTATGCCCTCTTTTCTTAGGTTTCCCCCGACCCCCATGTCAGTCCCATTTCACAGCAGCGGCACTATGCAGTATTTATCCTGTAGATGTTAATGGGAGGAGACTGTCCATCTTTCTCCTTCAGAATCACTGGTGAATTTGCAGCACTGGAGATGCACAGCCTTTGTGTTAACACTACAACACACCAGAGCCTCTTCCTTTAATCTTTGTTCTGTGCCATCCAAATGAACTAACACAGTGACTGGATGCTCTAGCATGTAAGAGATCATGAGGATAGTACAGGATAGAACAAGGTTCCAGTCACTTGTTCATAGTTACTATGACTAGTAGGGGATTCAACAGTGCCTAACAACCGGAAAGTTTTATTTCCTTTTTGGCAATCCTCGCTTTCATGAGTGCTCCGAGAGTGACCAGAAGGCAAGTTAGAGGATGCTGCTGACTACCTCTGGAGGCAATGCTGAAGAGGAAGTATCGCAAGGATGAGGGACCCAACTGTCCCCTTTAAAATCTATTAACAGCTTTATTGAATTATATTTCATATGCCATAAAACTCACTCTTTCAAAGTTTACAGTATTTTTTTTTCCCTAGTTTTGTTCAGAGTTGTGCCACCAATCCCACTATCTAATTTTGGAACAATCCCAACTGCCTTTTGACGTTTTGGGTTTTTTTAAAAATCACAAATTGGAATAGGAAAGAGAACTTCTAATATGAGCACTGCCCCACTGCAAGAGATACTTCAAAACGTAGAAGATCATGAATAACAACATCTAGGAAAGTAACAATATATACACAGTCCTATTTGTGCTCCTATTAATTTGTATAAATGTGGCATGCTATCCTCGGTAATACCTGAACAATTATTCAGTACTGATTCATTTGGATATCTCAATTCAAGTAATTAAAACCACAAAGAAAATAAGCTCAATGAGGATGCTAAACATAGTAGCTGTAAATTGGATTTGTGATAGGTGCCACCCACGTGGATTTATATTGATTAGAACAATGAAGATATATTGATGGATGAATTTTCATTTTCCTATTTTTTGGTAGTCATTCAAAATTACCACATGCACTATTTTTACTAATAAGCATCTAATTTTATTTCTATATTAAGGATTCCACTTTTGATCTCCAGCTGAAAATTCCAGAGTTCCTATAGTTGCTAGGGAACAAACAAATATACTTCCACAAACTTTCACAACATAAAGGTGTGATTATACAATGCTTACCAAAAAAAAGACGTTTTTCCTAAAATTAGACTAATGAAATAATTTATTTCTATGTGGAAAATCAATAAAATTAAAATGAGAAGTAGCAGTAAGCATGGTAATAGGTGAATCATTTACACATTCTATTGTTCTCACCACTGCCACTTCTTCCGACCTACTCTTTCTGATGTAATAATCTTGATTTTGGCCCCAAGTGCAAAACACATGCTTCTCTTTCTGCCTTCAGTAATATTTCATTTCGCTTACCTCCAAAATTAGAAACCAGAAGCTTATTATAGTGGCTTATGAAATTTATTCCTGATAGATTCTGAAATTTGTTATTAATATTTCATTATTGTGATTGCTGATGATCTCAGGTTCATAGAGGAAGCTTTTCTGGGATAATCTATCTCCTGTGTTTATGAGAAACATTATTCATAAACTTACGTAAAAGGTCTGCTCTTTCATTATCGAATAACCAGCTAACAATCTATCTGTGTGTACCCATCTGACTTGGCAATTACTGGCTTATCTCTATGCTACACTGTGATGGAATTATTAATTCCTCCTTATGACTTATTCTTTTGCTCTGCAGGTCAGCTAAGGACAATGGCAGAGACCTAATTAATAACAAGTACCAATAACTCAGGAGGACTGTGGGCTATTCTTCCAAAGTTGAGAGCCTGGCCCTGAAGAGAAGCAAATGTAGATGCTTTCAATCCTACGTCTCAAGCTCGGGGAAACTCGGCTCAGTGGAAGCCTTGACTGGCTGAGAAAGCAAGAGCAAGACAATTCAACAGCACTCAGGGATTCTCAGCTGCAAATGGACTGATTAGATGCTTCTGAGCCTTCTGGCAAATTCTCCCATACTGCCTTTACCCTATTCACAATGCTCCAGCTCCGTGCATGACTTCCCGCAGTTAGTCGGCCAGTAAGTAAGAAAACGGAGGCATGTCTCAAGATGGCCCTCACCCTCCTTCCATAAATGCTAGAATCATATTCAGGTAGCTTTGTCTTATTTCTCTTAAGTCAGAAAGAACTCTTAAAAATCCCTCCTGCTTCAAGGAAGTAGGTTTTGACATGAAAGTTAGGGATGGTGAAACTACAGCATTATAACATGATAGTCCTAGAAAGGAAGTGGGTGGAAAAATCACTTTGCTCAGCATATTACGTGCAGCTAAACTGTCGAAACCATTTTGCTCTAATTTTGCCCATCTCCTCTTCCACATCCATGGACTGGGAAGATGAAGAGAGTAGGAGTAATCATGCAGAAAATGAGGGGGGGACCTGTAGTCTCCCATTTCTCTCCGTTTATTCCTGATACTCTCCTGGTCCGTGCTGTGCTGGATTCATGGCAGGATGGCAAGAGCTCCTGACTTCCTGAACTCTGACGCATATTATCATTTCTAGGAGAAAGACTGGCAATGTCCTCCCATGTGATTTATTGCCTCTGAAAACCCACTGGAAGGTCAGCTATTAGTTCTCACTCGATGGCACACAACAACAACAATCTATGGCCCATTTCAAGAAGTCCTGTTGGTACAGTGTTTAAAACATTAGCTGCTACTCAAAAAGACCACCATTCAAAGACACAAGTCACTCTGTGGGAGAAAGACATAGCCATCTGTTTCCATGAAAGGCTAGTCTTAGAAACTGTAAGGTATAGTTCTACTCCATCCTAACATTCTACTTACTGTCTGTACACACTTGTTTGTTTTGTTTTGAGTGAATAAGACAGTTCCACTATAGGGTTGGCATGAGTCAGATTGTGAGAGCAGGTTAGATTCCCGCCCCCCCTCCATTTAGTAGACCTTATGTCACTGGTCTAAACGAAAGGTTTATGTTCAACCAGTATAGGGTAGCGGAGGTCTAGTGGTAAGGAGTTGTGCTGTCAACCCAAAGACACACAGTTCTAATCCACCAGCTGCTTTGAGGGAGAAGGAGAAGTCATTTTCTTCAGTGTGATTCACAGCCTCTGAAAAGCCTCCAGAGGGTCAGCTATGAATCAGTTCCAACTTGAAGACACATAACAACGATAGTAAAGGAAGGCAATTCCAACTCACCTACCAATATCACAGAAGAAATGGGGAAAGATATGCTTCCATTAATATTGCAGCCTATAGAGAAATTGTAATCTGTGACACAAGGGGTTACCATGAGTCGGAATGGATTCAACAGCAGCAAGTTTAGTCTCTCCTTGGGGGCGGGGAGGAGACAATTTCATAAACCATAAATCCAGAATAATTACCTTTCTGGTTCCTAGAATAATTATTCAAATTCAAGGATTTATTCCCTCCCATCCACTGCCAACAAGTTGACTGTAACTCAGCAATTCTCCCTGGGTTCATGAGGCTGTAACTCTTTATGGAAGGAACTCCTCCTCCTGTTTCTGCAAAGGAACAGCTGGTGAATTCGAACTTCTGACCTTTTGGTTAACAGTGCAACAGGTTAACCCTACACCACCAGAATTCCTTTGGATGGTACAACAGACTGTAAAACAAGTCCAGTCCCCAAACCTTAGAATATTTACATTCTAAGAGGATGGGATGATAGTAAATATATGGTCAGATGATGGCTCAGTTATAGATGAGAATGATATAGTTAGAGATGAGAACAAGATAGTAATTGCTAAGGTCCAGTGGGAAAGGAGGAAGCAATTACAACTCACATGGTTTTAAATCCCTCTTCCGAAACTTGTCTGAGCTATTCTGTGTATTGTTTTGCCTATATTCTTTCAAAGTAATAGTACAGAGAAATACATTTTTTTTTCCAGCTTTCATCTTTATTCAAGAGACCAGACGGGTTGCCCCAGGATCCAGCTGCCAGCCCCAAGGCCCAGCGCTGCTGGACACTCACGACCCGGCCTGCCTTTACCCTGAGCTGCAGTCTTGGCCCCAGGATCCGGCTCACAACCCTCAAAGCCTGGGGATTGGACACTGCTACTGATTCATTAAAAAAAGGAAACAGGCCAAGGCTCGAGTCATGTGGGGTGGGCCCAGGCCGCCCTGACCCGTGGCAGCGGGCTTCTGGACGGTCAGCTCACTGTCTGGGGGCAGAGGGTGGCCACGAGGAGGCTACTTCTTGGCTTTGGCAGAATTGCGGGGTGGCGTGACGGGCCGCCCCCCGGGATTCAGGCCACTGAACTGCCCATACTTCCCCTTGTTCATGTCTGTGGGCTTGAGGATCTGGAAGGAGCACATGAGCGTCTCGTCCACACTCATCATGGCGCCGGCGTTGTCGAACTCGCCGCAGTAGTTGGGAGCTGAGAAAAGTGTTACCAGCTGCCGCTTGGCAAAGAACTCATAGCCGTCTTCCACTACCTGGTGCGCCCGGCAGATGAGGTCCAGGTCATGCTTGTGCAGGAATTTGGCCACCACCTCAGCCCCGAAGGTAAAGGAGACCCCGCGGTCATTCTCGCCCCAACCCTGCACATCTTTGTCGGGGTCGGACCAAAGCAGGTCGCACAGCAGACCGTGGTCGGGCACGTCCGTGGGCCGCATGATGCGCCGGATCTGCTCCATGGACTGCAGGTCAGGGGACAGGCCTCCGTGGCAGCAGAAGATCTTCTCGTCCACAACGGCCGCGATGGGCAGGCAGTTGAAGCAGTCGGTGAACGTTTTCCACAGTTTGATGTTGTAGCGTCTCTTGCACTCATCAAAGAAGCCATACATGCGGTTGATGCTGGCACACTCGTGGTTCCCACGGAGCAGAAAGAAGTTTTCCGGGTACTTGATCTTGTAGGCCAGCAGCAGGCAGATGGTCTCCAGGGACTGCTTGCCCCGGTCCACGTAGTCCCCCAGGAAGAGGTAGTTGCTCTCTGGCGGGAAGCCACCGTACTCGAACAGCCGCAGGAGGTCATAGTACTGGCCGTGGATGTCACCGCATATCTTGAGGGGTGCCTCCAGCTCCAGAAGAATGGGCTGGCTCAGGAAGATCTCCCGGGACTTGAGGCACAATCCACGGATCTCGTTCTCCATCAGCTGGACATTTTTCCCGGGATGCGAGCCTTGCACTTCCAGCAGGCGCCCGATGATAGAGTCCAAATTGAGTTTCTCGGTGTCGGACATGGCGCCACCGCCGCTCCGGCCCTGCAGCTCAGGGCCCGCTGCTGCCGCCCGCCCTCTAGAGAAATACATTTTACCAAATCAAATTAATTCTAAATTCCCCTGCCTGGTTTCCAGTATAATGTCTGCTGTGTTCTGGTTACAATAATTTTTCAAAAATGTAAATATTTTTTCATTCTAAACTTAAAAGATTATAAACCTTTTACATCATTCTTGTACATCAACTTCTCAAATCACATTTTGTAATATATTTCTACTGTCGTGATATCAGAGAAGGGATTTAGGCCATTCTGGCATACAATGGACGAGCCTAAGGATAAACACCTACCCATAAGGCACTGGACTAGAAGTAGAGAGGTTCAGCATCCCCCCACCTCTGTCCCCATGTTGTAAGAGTAGCTTAATGCATACTGGATTGGACTTGGGGGTAGGGATTGTATAACAATGAAAGAGTTTTACTTTTCAGAGAAGAATGAACTGGAGGGGAGGGGTGGGCAGGAAGAAAAGCGCAACAATGAATTAATGGAAATCCTAAATCTCTGTAAATTTTCATTAAAATGAATAATAGTAATTTTAAAAACAAAACAAAACAAAAAAAAGAGTAGCCCAAGAGACTAACGGTGTAGATGGAAGGGTCTGAAAGAGCTATAAAGTAAAGGCCTGATAATTAGCAAAGGACATGTACCTCATTTCCTACTCTTGGTGTCAGCATGCATTGGATACCTGCTTTACAGCTGTAGTGGTGATATTAGCACATTAAATAACACTAAAGGTGATTAGATAATGGGTTCAATAAAGCATCTATTATCTGTTAACACCAAGCTGTCTGGCTCATACTAAGTGACCAATACAATTTTATTGACTTTCCAAATGAAACACAGCTCCTATGATTAAGACCACATTGATTGCTGTCCAGTCGAGTACAACTCATAGAGACCCTATGAATAAAAGACCTGCAGTCTTTCTATAACTATTGTCATTTATCAAAATTCATAGAGTTTCCAAAAGCATGTTGTTCAGGAAGTGGATGCCACTCCTGCTTCCACTATTCATTGTCAATTTTAGGTATTTTTAAATGAGTGAGTATATGTAGTATGTTCATATGTGCATGTGTTAATATGTTCACATGTGCATTCATTTGTATATTAATGTGTATTACTATGAATATGTGCATTCTTGTATGTATTTGTACTCACCTGTATGTGTGTGTGTGTGTGTGTGTGTGTGTGTGTGTGCATGCAGTGGGGAGGACCTAACTTTTTTTAAATTTTATTTTTTTAATTTTAATGAACATTTACAGATATTTTGGATTTCCATTCATTCATTGTTCCTGGTGTTAAATGTTAGGAAGTATCTAACATTTAACATTTAACACTTAACACCAGGAATATATATGTTTAGGATCAGCTCAGTTTTAAATGCAATCAATCAACTGCCTTCAGAAACCCGTACCTTTCAATTATTTCTGCTTCATTTTCTCCTTTCGTTTAGTCTTTGATTACAAAATAATTGCAAAAAATAAAAAACACAGCAATATTTTAAGATGTGTGAGAAACAGCAAAGAAAAAAATTAATAAAAAAAAGACCACGTTCCTGGTTCAAGTATGAGTGTAGAGCACCAAGGAAACCAGAGATGTGCATCAGATCCCAAAGCAAGCTAGGTGGTCAAGTTCCAAAATACTATTCCACTGGAAAATGGCTTTTCTCCTGAGCTCTAGTGTGAGGGGAAAAGAAAAAAAAAATTAGTCAAATAGACGGAAAAGCAATAAAAAAACAACATGGTGCTTTGGGCTACCAAGCTGTAGAAACTTTTGGAATACAGAGGAAGGAAAAGTATAACCCAGAAGATGGTAGAAAGTGGGGTGCGGAGGAGCATGGCCCTTAGAAAAAAGCTCTCTTTAGATCTCATTCTATATTGGCTAGACACACTCATCTCCACCTGTGACCCAAATGAACCATGGGCTGAACACAAATACAATATACATTTCACTCTGGAAAAAAGTTGAAAAAAAATTGAAGAGAAATGGCCTAGTCCTCACACTTCCCATTATATTAAAGCCTAAAAATAATATATTACCTTTTCAAATAGGATGCCTGTGACAGAACACAAAACTAAATAGCCCATTAGCCCTTTCCTATAATATTATATGACATAAAACAAAACGTCCTACCCATATGCTGCAAGTCTCCGATGGAGGCAAAACTCCACAAAGTCCCTTATCAAACACCTGGCACTTTCTTTTAGGGTAAATAACAGTAATGAAGAAAATCTAATTTTTTTTCTTTGTAACCAACTGGTTTGGCAAATCCCTCCTCTTAGAGCTTCTATGAAAGTTAAAAAAAAAAACCCAACCAAAAAAATCCAACATTAAAAAGTATAAAATATTAGATGAGCCCACGTTGACCTGTTGGAGACAATTTACAGGCTAAATTGAAAAATACTTTTTTAGTGTCTATCTAGTTACACTGTCTAAATGGTGGCTTTTCCTTCTGAAGGCTTCCAGATCAGAATGAGTCAGGCTAGATAAAGCCATTGATCCCTAAGTAGAAGGAAACAAAATATAAGCAAATGTTTTCTGAGAGAGTGAGAGTGAGAGAGTGAGAGAGTGTGTGTGTGTGACAGAGACAGACAGAGAGAAAGAGAGAGAGAGAGAGAGTGAGTGTGTGTGTGTGAGAGAGAGAGTGTGTGTGTGTGTACTGGGAAGGGAGGTGTTGATAGAACCCTATAGATGCTGCAGTGAAAGTAATGAAACACAAATTACCCTGCCTTTGAGCAATAAACTGGAAGGCTGACACCTTAACTTGCCTGTTTCTAGGTGTGTGCCTCTTTCTAGCAATTAACCATGATAGTTTTATTATGGTCCATGAAACACCTAATCAATAGGGTGGGATTCTAGTTACAGTCCACAGCCGGTTCTGTGTGCCTGCATAATACCCACGATTTTGCTCCCAGCTGTTCAGTCTAATCCATTTATGGCTGTTTATGGCTCACAGTCAGAGAAAACTTCTATTTACAGCTCATTCATCATTCTTAACATTTTCACAAATCCAGGCCGAATGCTCTGAGGGTGAGAAATAAAGCCAGACTTCCCCACTCCTCTTTGCTATCTCAGCACATCAAACTTCCTTCTTCCTCTGAAAGGCTACACAAACCATATTTTGTTACTCTCCACATTTACATTAAGCTATTTTCACCTGACCCATGAGAGCAAGCTAGGAGAAATTTAAAAGGCAAATGTGTAATTCTAATTTCTCTCTCTTTTTTTTCCTTTATAGGGAGCTAGATGGTTCTAAAAGCATTGTCCTAGTTCTTTAGAAATAGGATAGGGTGCAGGTGGGTGAAAGGCAGTAAACCCGCTGTGAATATTTCCATACTGCTTTACATAAGAATCACCTGGAGATCTGCACAAACTCACCTGGGGATCCAGGTGAAACTGTTGAGTCTGATTCATTGTAAACAGTGGAAATGGAAATTCTCAGCAGTGGAGGTGGTCCAATAGGAATGAACTGGTTGGAAGCCCTTTTCCAGAGGGATCCAGGATACACTTGTTTGGCTTGCAGTAACTATTGTTAGGACACATGGGTGTTGTATGCCAGGATATCCCTTCTCCCTCCCTCTTTTTTTAATGTGTGTGGGACAAGGGGCATGCAATGGGCTCCAGTTCCAATCAATGACATAGCTGTGACACCTAGTCATCTATATATACTGGGATGGAGCTATCTAGTCGTCTTTGTAGTTCAGGCAATGTTCTGTATTCAAACATAATCACAAGCTCTCTCATGGTCACAGATACATTGTTCTGATAAATTGTTTCTATTCAACAGAACCCCTAGGAGAACTGTGAGTGCCATAGCAGCGTTAAGCAGGCACCACACACAGGGGCCACCTTGTTTCTTTCTTCAAGGTTTTGGTCTCTCATAAATTAATGAATTCTCACCAGCAGTGCCAGGCTGCCCAGATACCCCTCTCTCTATGCAGTTGAGTTGGAACCAACTCAGAGCTCACCCTCCAGTAGAGTTTTCAACGGTTGTAAATCATACAGGAGATGGTGCGTCCCTTACCCATGGAACAACTGGTAGCTATGAACCACCTGTCTTTGGGAGCAGCTGTCTACTGACTAAGCCACCAAATGACTACATTAGCAAGGAAAACTCGGGTTTGCTTGGCCTTACTTTCTAATCGAGAGTAAAAACTTCTTTGTCTTCACCTCAGCCAAGATACTGTTCTTAGGAAAGGATATCATCTGTCTCTTTCCCAACTCCATAGCACCTTCCTACAGAATCAAGGCCTCTTTTTAAATTACCATCCCTTCCGTGGATGGAGGGCCCAGCAGACAGAGTAAGCATGAGATTTTTTTTTAAATTTAATTGTAATTATTTAATTTTTTAATTTCATTTTATTTATTATACCCCTACAGTCAAGTAAAGGGCAAAAAAGTGCCTAGTACTACAGTTCCTAGTATCAACGACAGCACAAGACTGCTGTCCTCTTTTTTATTATCCTGGGGAAAATGAAGCAAGAGTTTCAAGTTACCTATCATAGCTTTCCTTTCTCAAAAATTGTTTGTGGCTGCTGGCGAGAGCTTCCACTTTATTTTCTTCTATACTCAAGCCAAAAAAGTAAAAGTATAAAGAATAATTTTTTAAAAAAATTATTTTAATGAAATCCTGCCTGAAAATATTTTACTCCAAAGACTTTGAAGGTGGGTGTGTGTCCTAGTGGCAAGAAGCTGTGTGGCAAGCCCCAAAGCATGCCGTTCGAATCCACCAGCTACTCCATACGAGAAGGATGGATACTCTCCTCCCGTGAGATTAACTTCCTCTGAAAACCTGCTGGAGGGTCAACTATGGGTCAGTTCCGACTCGATGGTACATAACTATCTACACACACATACGTATATACATACACATTAAGCAATACTTACCAAGAATTGAGGAGGATATCACTCAGTCACTACCAAGCCGAGTAGGTTCTGACTCACAGCGAGCCTCCACGGGGTTGC